GATATTTGTAGAATTTAATACTGGCCAAGCCTGGAAATTCTGGAATGGTCGTAATAGCTAAATGAAAATTCATGCTAAATTTAAGATCGTCGAACAGCTGTCTCTATTCTAGATTCCCAGATATAATAGATAAAATTTTCAGATTTATGTACTTTAAAATTTTTTGTTTTATTTTATTTATTTAGTTTTTACCTTCCCGAAAGAGAAGCTTATGTTTTGCGCGACCAGTCGGGCAAGCCGTTTCTTTGTGAATAGCAGAAAAGTGAAAATTTTTTTGTTCACTTTAAAAAAATAAAAAATTGTTCGAAAGATATTGGTTGGGAATGATACTGAAGTTTTAGGTAAAGATCAACCGAGCCGATTTTATGTAATTTACTGTCGAAAAACAAATTATTCCGATTTTTATGAATTTTTTTTCCACGATAAATAACAGTCTTATAGAACATATTGAAATAATACGGCCCTACGATAAGTAGATTAATATTAAAAATTCATCAACGTTTGAAAAAATATCATAGTCAAAATTTGTCAATTTTAGGACATACAAGCACGTGCCTGTGTTAATATAATTAATATAATTACAGATAATTTAAAAGTGTTTGAGAAAATTCAATTGGAAATTGCATTTTTAAAATTTAATTGGAAGCAAAAACTTGATTTTCGAAATAAACAGTTTATCTAAATATCTAAATCTCAATTTCGGTTCAAGTCAATCATCACAATCGCGAAGTTTTTGCAACTTGCATTAAGGCAAAATGCCACTTTCAACTAGTTATTTTTGAGTTTATATTGTTTATATCTCATATAATACTAAATGCTGAAATATTATATTATATTAGTTGTATGTGGATTATGGCTAGTATCATCTTCAGAGTGTTTAATTTTGCGGATGCACATTTGCATAAAAATGAACAAGTTTTCATATATTTTGTTACAATATGCAGAACATGAAATTAAAAAGGAAAAAGATTTGAAATGATTTTTTTTCATGTGTTTTATCATATTGATACAATAATCAAATCAATCAAATAAAAAAAATACGATTATCAGTGAATTATTAACCCTTTCCACTCGGATGCCGCCGTTCCGCGACAAAATACATATAAATTTCGCAATTTGCGAGTGGAAAGGGTTAACCTTGTTTGTCATCTTTCTCAATAAGTTTAAGAGTAAGCAAACAGATCTAATTTTTAAATTTTTCATCAAATTGCAGATTTTCTTTGAGGGTTCTAGTTTCACTAGTTATAACCCTTTCGAATCGGATGTCGCCACTCCGGCGGCATATTCATTTTACCGTTGCGCTTGGATGCCGCCGTCGCAAACTACACTCACAACATTTAATTTTTTTTTTTTCATTTTTTTGGAAATTAATTTACTTTTACATTGATTAATTTATTAATTTTATAAATAAATATATGGAGATAGCATCTATTAATAAAGACCAGAATAAAATTTTACGTGAAATACGGAACTGCAATGCGCTAAAAAAGAAGGCTGTCAAATTTACTGTGCTGCAGAAAGAAATTGAATATAGACAAACTACATAAAAAGTCTATGAATTGTATGTTTTGAAGGAAAGCATTGCCAAATTAGAATGCAAATTAACAGAGCATTTAGTACTTGTGGACGCAATTGAAAGTACGAAGCAGAACATTTTTGAAAGTACTGATACTCTGCGCAGAGAATTGAAACAGATTAACAGAGAATTATGTGAAATAGAACAAAAAAACTTGAAAACGTATGCTGATATCGCTAAACAAAGATCAAAGAAAAAAAAAACTGGCAAAAGCAAAAGCTGTCGAGGAGAAGAACGGGTATGAAAATTCAATCCAAGATGTCGAGAGAAATTATAACCTATTTCTGTCAGAAATCACAGATTCTGAATATCCACCTAACTACTATTATAGTCTGGAGGAATCTCAGCTTCAAGATTATTATAATATCAAAAATGGAAAGCGATAAGAAAACAGCATTGCTAACATGCGAGCAAAACAGATTGATGATATAGAAAAAGCAAATCTTACAAAACGAAAAGTGGCGTTTGAAGCTGAAATAGTAAAAATGGATTCTGAAAAATATAAAGAAAATACAATCGATGAATTTAGAATTAACCGAAATACAACAAGAGAAGTGAACAAATCGTAAGGCTGCAAGAACGTCAAATATCTTATTAAATGAAATTGAAAGAAAATAAGTGCAGACTGCAAGAAGCTCGATGCAGTGAAGATTATTTTGAAGAAAATCGAAGGCAGAGTGTTTTAACGAGACTTAAGGATTACATAAATGGTCGATTTTGGATCTTTGCCAGCCGATACATGCAAGATTTAATATTGCCGCAACCAAAGTTGTAAGAGATATTTGTTTTCAATAGTCGTAGATACAAATTCTACCGCTCAAAGTTGCATATCAACCTTGAAAATGGAAAAAAACTAGATCTTGAAACATTTTTGCCGCTTGACTCTATTATTGAAGTAACTCTAACTAAACCTATTATTGAAGACCTTAGAAATAGAGAAGAAGGAAAGAATATAAGATTGTTACTCGATGTACTGCAATATGAAAATACTATTTATAAAGCAGTTTGTCATGTTATTGAAAAGACTTGGTTTGCATAACACCCGATCACGCATATAAAGCATCATCAGACTATAATCAAAATGCTGTTGCACTCGAATGCAATGTACTTTAAATCAGGATTAATGTCATGTGGTGAATCTGATCTTATGAGGAA